TTGACCCTCTCAGGAACAAAACAAAACAAAACAAAAGGTTGAAATCAACCTTTAGGTTGACTCTAACCAGGTAAAGGGGAGGCCAGACTTGGTGAGGAGAGCGTGAAGAAACATGTCCACTCTTCTAGGTGAGGAATCAGACGGCATAGAGGCGAAGCGCAGACATCTGAAAATGGGGATATTGATAGTTTCTTTCTCAAGTGATTGCTCTAAGCATATAAAGTAATAATCCACGTGAAGAGCCTGATACATAGGAAGCACTCAGTAAACAGTAGTTACTTATATTAAAGGCTCAGATGAGTGGGCCTGTAATTTTACAGATGTTATTGTTTAGGACCAGTTCAAAGGAAGGGGCAGCACCAATTTATATTTAGAAAGTAAGTCAATTTAAAGAAAAATATTAAGTCAATAATAGTGCAAGTGGTGGACAGCTAAGGCAAAATTCATGAAGCTGTTGTGTGGACAACTGAAGTCTGGGAAACGGAGCTGAAAAGGAACTATATTGAATGGTAACTGGACTAGGTTCCTTCTAGCGCTAAAGGTTTATGACTTTGAGACCATTTTTCATGTTAATGCCATTTGCCGTCCCATGCTTTGTCCAGGCACTGGGCTCAGTACCTTGCCTCCTTGTCACAGTTGATCCGCACAATATCTCTGAAAAGTAGATAGACTACCATCAGCTTCGTTTCCTTATTGCAGATGAAGAAATCAGAGGCTCATGGAAGACACCTCATTTGCCTAGGGTTACACGCTAGTATGGGAAGGAACCAGCCTTGAAACTGTTAGGGAGAGCCTCAGTTTACGAATTATGGTCTGTGTCTACAGTGTGGGATAACTGAGGAATTTTCTAGTTTAGTCTAATCAAGGGCTCATATTTAGATATTGCTGTTACGCATGGATTTTCCCCGATAGGATTCTGTTGCTTTATAAACTACTACTTAGGTCAAAATTAGCTGACTCTTTAAACCAGCCGTGGGACTGGCTGACCTGAGGGCCAAGTGCCTTCAAGGCAGATTTTCAATTAGCAGAGGAAGACATGGTGCTGTCAAGACTTGACATCCAGACCAAGAGCCCCTTTCTGCTGTGGGTTATTTCTCAGGGAAGGTTGTTGGGAGATGGGCACATTCTACCAGCTGGCGGCAACACCAGTGACCTTTAATGCTAGTTTAGCTTGAATACATTTTGACATTTCAAGCAAATTAATGTGTTTTTACAAGGTGGGGCACCGACCACAAATTAGGCCAAATGGTTTCCCTGCAGGCTGGGTTACTGTGCAAAGATTCTCCCACCACCCCCAAAAGAAATGTTTATTTCTCTCCACCTGGACAAATGCCAACAGCCCTCAGGGGTTAACCTTAGTCCCACCTCAGTAGTCTATAATTCTGGGGTCTCTCTGCAACTAACAGATGCTAATTCTGACAGCCGGAATGAGGCCAAGACTCCAATCCGCACGTTACATTGTGTGTTATGGAAATGCCTCGGTATAAAGCACCAGTTCCTTGAAAAATTACGTGGAAAAGAGAGTATCTAACATGAGAAGCAGATAGAAGGAACTAACAACCTACGAGAGGTGAAAAGGTCCAGTTTCTGAAAAGACAGACCCTAGACTACTAAGTAGCCACACATCTTTCATCTGAGGCGTTTTCAGAGACAAATCAAATGGGAATTAAAGGGATTCTGTGTAGCTCCTACAGAAAGTGTCTCAGAAGCACAGAGGCCACTTTAGTCACAGGAAACTGCCAGAGGGTGACTTATTTGATGGAACAGAAAACAAACAGACACACTAGCTGGTGTATTTTTGAGGCAGTTTTAAACCTAATAAACATGACACCAATAGCGTTGACTTAAATCAGCTTGGGCGAGTTGGAGAATTTAACAGCTCGTCTTCCAACTACCAGCCTTTATCTCAGAGGCGGCCTTGACAGCAGAGAGCAGAGTCCAAAACATGGCCTGCTCTGACTTCTGCCAGGTGTGTGCCGTCCCCGGCCTCTGCCCCGGCCTCAGCTCTCAGAGTGGGGATAATTAGAACGTCATTTCTGCCAGCTTTGTTTTTTCTGGGTCACTGACTTCAGACTTGATCAAAATACGAGTGTTGGACTGAAATCAATTGGTTTCCTCTTCCTCAGCCAGCCCCAGCTTATTTCCTGGGGGACTGTGCTCCAGAGGCCCAGCGCACACAGACAGCTTCTGTAGCAGCCCGATGGTGTGTATAGAGGTCCAGAGTGAGGGCTGTGGAGGGGTCCACAGCGCAGGCGCTCCATCTCCCTGCTCTCCCTCTCCGTGGCAGGGCGCTGACATGCAAGGGCCTCAGACAGGCGTGCCGAGGAGCACATCACAGCAAACTGCTCTGGGAGCTGTTAAGGCTGGTGTTTGTTTAATGTTTATCCAATGGCCTCAGTTTGAAAGGCTCTGTAGAACATGCATAACAGAAGCTCAGCTTTATACTCCATTAGCATTCAAATTCCTAGCTGTCCAGAGGCATATGGTACTGACCAGAGAAGGCCAGCCTATGTCAAGGCTGAGGGCATGTAGAGACAGGAGGACAGGTTGAGGCTGCTGGATGTCTGGGAGAGACACTCAGAGACAGGGGACAAAGAGACCCAAGTGGTACAAGAGGAGAGGTCAAAGACAACCTTTGTCTTCTTTATAACATCACCAGTTGCCCTCCATTAAGAGACAGAATTAGAGGGAAGGGCTTTATCTCAGACTGGCCTTTGTCCACTTCATTACTGAGTGGAAGGCCCCTGGAAATAGTGGGCCTCAGAATGCGATGATAGCATATATCTTGTTTTCAGACTTTCGGATTCAATAAGAAAAACAAAGCTTTCCTCGGGCTTTCACTCAAGGCAAAAAGAATTGCAGCTACATTACTGTTACTATCTTGGCCAGGAATGGGGCAGACTCTTCTGCCTTTGCCTAGCCATAAGAGAAGAGAAATAAAGTACAGAATAAGTGAGTGGTGGAGTCGAGAGTGCACGTAACGTAGTTCTCTGAGAAGTGCCCTGTGATAAATAGCAGCTGTCGAGGAGATGTCAGGGTAGACATTGGGCTGACTCCTGTGTCAAGAAAGGAACTAGAGTAGATCCGTGTTTGCTTGGCCTGTGTGTCCCAGTGCCCAGCACAGCACTTGGCACCAGCACGCCAGACACACACACACACACACACACACACACACACACACACACCCCAGTCCTTTTGCTTCTAACTCCTTAATGTGTCTCAAATCCATCTACTTCTCTCCATCCCCACTGTCGCCAACCTAATTCAGGCCACCATCATCCCTCACCTGGACCACTGCAGGAGCCTCTTAACTAGCGGCCTGTTTCCCATCTCACCTCCTCCTCCAATACGATCTCAACAGCAGAAAGGGTGATCCCTCTAGAACCCAAATATGATTATGTCACATCCCTACTTAAAGCCATCAGAATAAAACTGGACATGTACATCTCTCCATTACCTGGTGTATTAGTCTGCTGGGGCTACCACAACGAAACACCACAGACCAGGTGGCTTTAACAAGAGAAAGTGATACTCTCATAGTTCTGGAGGTGGGAAGTTCAAGATCAAGGTGTCGGCAGGTTTGGCTTCTCCTGAGATCTCTCTCCTTGGCTTGCAGACGCCCATCCTCTTACTGTGTCCTCACATGGGCTTTTCTCTGTGCATACACATTCCTGGTATTTCCTCCTTCTTATAAGGACCTGAGAGCCCCACCCTTATGACCTCATTTAACCTTTATTGCCTCTGTCAAGGCCTCAACTCCAAATACAGTCACATTAGAGGTTAGACTTCAGCATATGAATTTAGGGGGGCACAATTCAGTCCTGATACCTAGCCACTGTCTACCTCCTGATTCTCACCGATCACCTCTCCATCACTCAGCCTGTATTAGCCTTACTGGATTGTTTGTAGTATCTGGATGGGCCATACTGTCTCTAATCTCTGAACCTTTACCCATGCTGCTCCCTCTCCCTGGATTGCCCTCAACTCTGCTGCCTGCCATTTCCACCTCATTCCTCTCCTACTGGTCATTGCAGACCCTATTTAGGTACCACCTTCTCTGGAAATAACCTGCCTCCTGACTCCTAGTCTGGGTAAAGAGCTCTCACGTCCTCTCTGCTGCCTCCTTCTCATGACATGGAGAGTAATTGCCTGATGGCTCTCCAAGGGTTCTTGTAGACCATGAGGCATTTGACCTCTTGTCATTTTGGAGATCTTCTGAATGCCCAAAGCCTAGCACAAGGCTTAGCACAGAGAAGGTGCTCAGCAAACATCCAATGAAAGAACAAACCAACCTGTTTCTTTGCTGAGGAAAGAAGGATGTGGAGTGAACCAGGTCAAGCCACATGAGCAGTGCATTACAACTTAGGATTCCAAATCCCCAGCTGATGAACTGTACCTGAGTACTCCACAAGACAGATGCTAGGTCTGTGCCAAGGAAAGGTCCTGTCCCCAAAGGTTGCTGATAGAGTAAAATCGGGTTTCTCTAGCACTCTGTTGTCCAGATGCCTCTATGACTTTGCTGTTCCATGCATCTACAGAGCAGTGAGAGAGATTTGCATCTCATAGTGCCACAGAAGCCCTAGAGCAGTGGTCCTCAAACTTTATTGTGCTTCAGAATCACGTGGAGGACTTGTTAAAACATGGCTGGCTGGGCTCCAACTCCAGAGTTTCTGATTCAATAAGTCTAGGTTGGGGCCTGAGGATTTGCATTTCTAACTGGTTCTCAGGTGATGCTCTTGCTGCTGGTCCGGAGACCACACTCTGAGAAGGATCCTTCTGGAATTATAGCAGAAAATACTTCACATTATGTTGGAAATGGCATAAACGGCAAATGTGTTTACCAGAGCACTTAATCAACTGTCCTTCCGAACTTTGCCGGATAACACCAACATTGCTGAAATTCATGAGACGGGGAACCAATAAGCCAATTTTTCTTTCAAGGTAAAACGGCCCCGGAAAGATATTGTAACCTAATGGTGTGTGTTCTGTTCTTTTTGCAGGTGCGATTAGAGTGGCCAACAGACCTTGCAGTCAATCCCTTGGACAATTCATTGTACGTCTTGGATAACAACATTGTGCTTCAAATTTCTGAGAACAGGCGAGTGCGGATCATTGCAGGGCGCCCCATTCACTGCCAGGTGCCAGGCATCGATCATTTCTTGGTCAGCAAGGTAGCAATTCACTCCACTCTGGAGTCAGCAAGGGCCATCAGCGTCTCCCACAGCGGGCTGCTCTTCATAGCTGAAACAGACGAGAGGAAAGTAAACCGCATTCAGCAAGTTACCACCAATGGGGAGATCTCCATCATGGCTGGTGCCCCCACTGACTGTGACTGCAAAATTGATCCCAACTGTGACTGTTTTTCAGGTATGACCTTTTTAGCAATTCAGTAGCTCCCCCTCTCTGTTTTCAAAAGAAAAACGTGCATCAGAAAAGTCAAAAAAAGAACAAAAGTATTACTTGTAAACATTGGTGTGAGGCACTGGAGAAAGCAATGGATTGGGGGTCAGATCGCTTAGTATCTTGTCCTTGTTCTGCAGTTGACTCACTGAGTGACCCTAGGAAAGCCATAAAACCCCTTCATGACTCACTTCATCTGCTAAGTAGAGAGACCACGTGTCTCAGTTATATCACCTTGCTGTTTTGAAGATAAACTAGTATAATAAAAGTTTTGGTACTCTAAGAAGTTAAGACCACTCTACAAATGTAAGATCATGATATTATTTGTACTTTGGATAAAGGGAAGCTAGGTAAAACCTACATTTACTGATTTAGCTAAGGAAAAAATTACTTCCAATAAGTGACTGGTTTCCAGATTAACAGTGTGTGCTATTTGAAACCCAAAGGGACTAGAAGCAGACTGCTTTCAGGATACAAGGGCAAAGTTAAATCTCACAATGGAGGGTTCTCAGGACATCAGTCTGCTACTTACGTTGTTTTTTTTTTAATCCAAAATTTTCTCCATAACCAGTAGTGCCCTTTACTTCAATTGAAATAGGGGGGGAAAAAAGAGCCTTTTCTCCAAAACACAGAGTGGATATTCCAGACAGTAAACAGTCCTGTAAGTGCCAGTAGATGCATTTACTGCTGGTACGTGGACATCCCTCCATGCTGCATGCCGCCCTATTAAACTGCTCATCCACGCCCAAATGGTTCTTTTAACCTTTGCCTTTCCTTGGGACAGAGGAATCAAGAGTGAGCAACTTGGTCAATATGACTTTTGATTGATATTTCCAGTGTTTTCCTAGACAACTAGTTTTATAGTTATTTTGCTAATTGATATCTTTCTTTCAAGGCAAAACTGGAATGTTTATTCCAGTTATCAAATTTGATGTTCTGAATCATTGTCACACTTGCAGACTTAGTGTACTTTGACAATATGACAATGAAAGTTAACAGAAGAAAGGTGTCTGGGCACAGTAGGACTGGAAAGCCCTGAGATAGATGCTATGAGCATGGACAGGCGTAAGTCTCTGGCTAGATTTGGGGTGGCTGTCATCATTTGCTGATTTTGTATCTTTAGATACAGAAGAGCAGGATTGACGATTTCACAAAATCGGTGTTAACTGAGAGAATTGCATCTCACTGTTCATCTTTAGTGGCACTGACTCAAGAATTGTGAATAATGGGTTTCAGATATCCAGCTGGGGCATGTGGAAAATGTTGGTTCACTGACTGTTCCCTTTAAAATGATTCTTGATGCACAGCGATTTCTGTATATGGTATGTTTGTATAAGTGCTTGTGACCACAACTGTTAACATCAGGGTCTTTCTCCCACAGGTGATGGTGGCTATGCCAAAGATGCAAAGATGAAAGCCCCTTCCTCCTTAGCAGTGTCACCTGATGGTACCCTCTACGTGGCAGACCTTGGGAATGTTCGAATTCGTACCATTAGCAGGAACCAAGCCCACTTGAATGACATGAACCTTTATGAGATTGCATCACCTGCTGATCAGGAACTGTACCAGTTCACTGTCAATGGAACCCACCTGCACACCTTGAACTTGATAACGAGGGACTATGTGTATAATTTCACCTACAATGCCGAAGGTGACTTGGGTGCGATTACCAGCAACAATGGCAATTCTGTGCACATTCGCCGAGACGCAAGCGGGATGCCCCTTTGGCTTGTGGTGCCTGGCGGGCAGGTGTACTGGCTGACCATAAGCAGCAACGGAGTCCTGAAAAGAGTGTCAGCCCAAGGCTACAATCTGGCCTTGATGACCTATCCAGGAAACACGGGGCTTCTGGCTACCAAAAGTAACGAAAATGGATGGACAACCGTTTATGAGTAAGTTTCTAAATCTCAACATGGGCTTTGTTAGGTTTGTATTTGCAATTGTATTACAGTGGGAAGATGACTTAGTAATTGCTGAGTGTTGCATGCTATTTTCTCCTAACAGCCACAATAAAAAAAAAAAAAAGTCAAGGAGAAAATTTTACCCAACTCCTAGGCTTCGAACCCATTTCTCCAGAGCAAGCACTTTTGCAGAGCATAATAATAAAAACATAGGCTGAATGAAGAATCAAGCATGGCGCTGCACGAGACAAGAATGAGGCGGAAGTCCATGTGCTCGAGAAATTTACAGCATAGCTGGGAAAACAAGGGAAAATTTCATTTAAATGACAAAACTAGAAAATAGTTCTAAAGTAGCAAAGAAGCAGTGTAGCTTAACTAGTATTTATTGATCGCTGTGGGGTTTAATGAATGAATGAATGTGTGCGCAGCCCAGCCCAGCCCAACTCAGTTTAAGTTGTGAAATGACGTGGGGCAAATGCTGAAACAGGAGAAGCTGCACTCCACTGGCTGCTTCTGGGAAATGTGGAGTCAAAAGCTTCAGTACAGGCCTGCGCCCTCCCCTCAGTTTCCCTGCACAAGGCAAAGACTCCAATACATTTGGGTATTCACAGACCGGGTCTGTGATAACTTTGTTTAACTGGAAATTAACAGAAGGTGTGTCTGACGGCAGGCTACTAGGAGGTGTCCTGTCATGGACATAGAGACCATCGTCCTTGCCTTTTAAGGCTGGACAACGTTATTTGCAAGTCAACCCATTTAGAAAGCTACTTTGCCAGCGCTCGGCAAGCATCTTCCCCACGAAGGGAATTGCTGAATTTTTAACCAGTTTACCAAGTGAAGATAATGCATGGAACTGAACCCAGAGCCTGAAATGGCATTCAAGTTGAGGAACGTGAGAAGCGGAGATACTAAATACGAGGAGTTCCAGGTGTGACTCTTCCGTGAGAATGTAGGGAATATGAAGAGAATAGATCCCACGAAACCCTCCTGAGGAAAGGGACAAAACAGTTGGCCTTCAAGTTTTGGATCATTTCCCAAAGAAATGCCACTTATACAAAAGAGCTGGACAGCTATTTTAGTTTCACTGAGAAAAATGTATTCAGTTTCTGTTGCAGGTCTTCCTCTATTTCTGGAAAAATTTCTCTTACATCTTAATAAAAGTAATAAAAGCTACTGTTCACTGAGGGTTTACTATGTGCTAGGTCCTAGGGTAGGTGATTTACATAAAGTATTTTGTTTGATCTCCAAAATAACAACATGGGATACGTGCTCCTGGTTTGCCTATTTTATGGATGAGGAAACTGAGGCCCAGCATGGTGAGCTTGTCCTGATTCACACAGATGTCCAGGATTCAAACTGCAACAGTCTGACTCAAGAGCCCACATTTTGAAATATACTACCCTTAAGAAAGATAAAAGTTCTAATGAGAATATCTTTTCTCAAAAATTCACGCAAGATCACACTGCAGCTGAAATTAGACAAATAACTTTTTTTTTTTTTTTTCCGTACGCGGGCCTCTCACTGCTGTGGCCTCTCCCATTGCGGAGCACAGGCTCCGGACGCGCAGGCTCAGCGGCCACGGCTCACGGGCCCAGCCGCTCCGCGGCATGTGGGATCTTCCCGGACCGGGGCACGAACCCGTGTCCCCTGCATCGGCAGGCGGACTCTCAACCACTGCGCCACCAGGGAAGCCCGACAAACAACTATTTTGAAAGCTAATGGTTAAATTCAGTTAAGCAACAAGAAATGGCAGAATTATTAACTAGTTTTCAAAATAACCAGTTCAACCGTTCACTTATTTACCAATCATCACATTGTACTCTTGAAATACATGCAATTTTATTTGTCAATTATACCTCAATAAAACTAGAGAAAACCCCCCCACAAAATAACCGTTTAACCATTCATTTATTTATTCAACAAATATTTGCTAAGCAGCTAGTATACGCCTGGCAGTGTTCTGGTGCTGGGGATATAGCTGTGAACAAGACAGATACAAATCCCTACCTTCATAGCGCTTACATTGTACTGGAGGGAGACAAGTAAAATGCACAGAACTTCAGATGGTGATAAGCTCTGCGGAGGAAATAAAGCAGGGTCAGGGGGAATCAAGATTTGGGGGCAGAAGGGGTTTTTATTTCAGGCTGGGTGGTCAGGGAAGGCCTCACTCAGAAAGTGACATTTGAGTAAAGGCCTGTAGGAGGTGAGGGAGTGAGTCGTGTGGGTATCTGCTGGGGAGGAAGGGGGAAAACATTGCAAGCAGAGTCAACAGCAAGTGCAAAGGCCCTGCAGCAGGAACAAATCTGACATGTTCAAGGAATAGTAAGGCAGCCACTGTGACTGGAGTGGAGTGCACAATCATAGTAGGGAGACAAAATCAACGAAGTGGCCAGGGCCACTTCACATAGGGCTTTGCAGGCCTCTGTAAAGACTTTTTGACTCTGAGTAAAAGGTGAGACCACTGGAGAGCTTCAAGTAAAGGAGTGACAGAATCTGCCTTACATTTTTAAAGAATCACTCTGTATTGAAAACAGACTGTATGGTGGAAGTAGAGGAGCCTAATGGAGGGAGGGGGCTATTGCAATAATCCAGGCAAAATGGTGACTTAGACCAGGGAGTGAGGGCAGTAAGTGATAATATTCTAAATATATTTTGACAATAGAGCTGTCAGGACTGACAGATGGGATGTGGGGTATGAGAAAAAAAAAAAGGGTCAGAAATAACTCCAGAGTTTTTGGCCTGAGCAAGTGGGTGTTGGACTTTCCATTTACCAGGATGGGGAAGACCAGGCAAGGAGTACATGATATTGGGTGGGAGTTCAGGGCTGGATATGATCAGTTTAGACATCCAAGGGAAAATATCAAGTTGGCAATCGGATTTATGAGTCTGGAATTGAGGGGAGCAGCTGGAGATGTGAAATTTGGAGATCCAAATTTAGCGTCCACCAGTGTCTTGATTGTGTTTAAAGCCACGAGATCTTCATGGAAAAGTGAGTGTAGTCAAGGAAGAAAAGAGATCTGATGATGGAACCTAGAGCACCCCAACATTGAGTTGAAGATATGAAGAGGAACCAGCAAAAGAGACTGAGAAAGAAAGTCCAGTGAAGTAGGAAGAAAACCAGGAGAGTGGGACGTCCTGGAAGCGAAGTAAAACAAGTGACGCAAGGAGGAAGGAGTGATCAGCCGTGTCAAATACTCCTGATAAGTCAAGTAAGATAAGCACGGAGAATGACCGTTCCATCCAACACTGTGGAGATCATTGTTTACCTTCACAAGAACAGGTGCTGTGGGCCCTGGGGGACAGAAGCTTTAGCAGAGGGGGTTTAAGAGATAATGGATACGCACATGTTCATAGCAGCGTTATTCATAATAGCCAAGAAGTGTAGAGGACCGTGTCCATCCAGTCATGAATAACCAAACGAAATGTGGTATATCCATACAATGCGATATTATTCATCCATGAAAAGGAATGAAGTTCTGGTACGTGCTACAGCATGGATGAACCTCAAAGACATCATGCTAACTGAAAGAAGCCAGACACAAAAGGACAGATATTATATAGTTCCGTTTATATGAGATATCCAGAAAAGGCAAATTCATAGAGACGAAGTATAACAGATTAGCAGTTGCCAAGAACTAGGGAGAGGCGTGAATGGGGAGTGACTGCCAGTGAGCACGGGGTTCATTTGGGGGGTGATGGAAATGTTCTAGAAATGGTGCTGATGGTTGCACACGTTGTGAATGTACTGAAAGCCACTGAATTGTGTACTCTCTACTTTTAAATGGTGACTTTTATGCTATGTTAATTATATTTCAATAATAATAATCGTAATAATAAAGAGAGCAACTGGGAGGAGAGTTTGGGGACAATGAGTAAAGAACCCTTCTGAAGTGCACTGCTGTAACGAGCAGAGAAATTGGAGCAGAGGGGGAACAGAGTAATCAGAAGGAGGTTTTTAAAATGAAAGAAATAGTGGTACATCTGTGTGCTGGTGAAAATAATCCAGTACAGAGGGGAGAACTGATGATGTCAGATAGAGAGCAGAGTGTTGTAGTCGGATGTTTGTGGTCCCGGAGGATACTTACAGCAAGCGGAGCCCAGGCCTGTTGCCAGGACTCGGCTGGCAGTGAGAAAAAGGTAGCATCTAACATCATTGTTTTGGGGTAACCAATCTTGAGGCATTAAGAGATGAGAAACACAGGCATTCACGCGGGGGTAATCATGGAATTTTATGGCCACAAGGAGACATCAGAGGTCACTTTACAAATAAGGAAATGGAGGCCTAGAGTAGGGGACTAATTTGCCCGTTCATGTTGCTGGTTGGCTGGGTCTAGAGTCAGATCTTTGAGCTTCTAGCCCACTGCTCTTTCCACTACTACCCCACTGCCTTCCAGAAAAAGGAAGAGGATTTGGGATTACAGGAGTGACCATGGGAAGTCTGGGGAGCTAGAAGATTTCTGCTGCAGTAGCAGGACAAGAGGAGTATGAGAGCGCCATGAAAGAGAAAGGGAGGCTGAATATCCGTCTCGTCCTTCTCCCACCTTCTCAACTCCAGCCAGTATTATGCGGAAACCCTCTGTGGAGAGGAGAAGGTTCCTCTTCCTCCTGAAGCAGTGCATTCTGTCCCCAACGGAATGCTGTCCCTGTCGGTTCCTGCCTGTACATATGGGAATGAGCAACTTCCCAACCTTCAAAATGAAACTAATTCTTCCCAGTCTACTCTGTACAAACTCTGGCTTCTTTCACTTTTATCCTCCAATGCTTTAGCCGGTTCTGAGCACTCCTTCGAGGTTTTCCTTCTCCTTCTGAAGCCAGGGAGCACCGAATCGGACCTACTCTTCCAGTCAGGGTTACAGCCATGCTGAGGTCAGTAGAAGGCGGCCTTGGGCCACTGTTACCAGGCCCTCCTAAAAGAACTTGAGCGTTGCTCAGAGGTGAGAGAGAGGCTGCCTTCTTTGGCCAAAAGGTGACAAATCCTTTGCTAAGGTGGA